CTGCCAGAGGGTGGTGTGATGGACAGGGATGCAAGTCTAGGCAGGTGTCTTCTGCCACCTCATAGCTGTTTGAACTTGGGGGAAATTACTTTCTTCAGCTTCTTCATTTGTAAAATGAAGTTAATAATACGTTAGGCTTAAAAGGCATAGATAAAAGAGATCTTAAAGCTTTCTAACGAAGTGGATGGTGGTTATTGCAAAAACTCAGCCAAGTACAGAGAAAAAGCATCTGTGGGGTGCTCAGCCACAAATGGGACATCTGTAGCATCACCCTTACCCCAAGGCTCAGGAAGCATTGTGGAAGAAGGGGCCAGAGGTCAGAAAGAACTTTTCAACATGACAGGATGACTGCATGCATGAACTCAGCAATGGTTGCCTGCATAAGACCCACACAAGATAAACCCAGTCAACATCCTGCATAGATGGGGGAGGGGCTCACCAGCCCCCATCCCTAACAATGGAGCTGACTACAAGGGGAAGCAGAGTCAGCTTTCTGTAAAAGTGTGGCCCCTGGTAGGTCCACTATGCTCCCATGGGTGGGCTTCCCACCCATGTTCATAAGTTGGACTCAATGGGTTATTTTTTTTAAATAAGGATATGAAGTTGGGAGGGAATGAGAAATGAATCTGAGAAGAGTTAGGGGAGGAATAAGGCAACATTCCTAGAATATAATAGAGCAATATATCAAATAGAGTACATATTATCAACGTATACACACACACACACACACACACACACACACACACACACACACACACAGTTCCAGGAGCTCAGAAAGAAGGCTCAGCAGTTAATAGGACCTGAGCTCAATTCCCAGCACCCACATCAGGCAACTCAAAGCCACATGCAACTACAGCTCCAAGGGATGTGATGCCCTCCTCTGGTCTCAAGCACCTGCACTCATATGCATATACTAACGCAAGACACATACATATAATTTAAAATTAGAGAATAAATCTTAGAGGAAAAAATAGACTAGGAACTACTAAAAAGGGTATCAATACCTATCACACTGAAAAGTGGCCAGCACCACTGTCACTCCCTGGATGCCAGGCCATTTGCCAGTCCCATCAAGCAGCACCAGAAGTGCCTGTATCTCACCCAGCACAAAGCTGGTGACCAGTTAACAGTGGCTGCAGAGCAGTGAGCACAGTGATACTAGAGAGAAGGGAGCTATCTTATGCTAAGTCAGGAAAGCTTCTGGAGTCAGCAGGGCCCTGCTGGGAGGGCAGCCTGCTGGAATAGGAGAGACACCATGGATTTCCATCCAGTCTGTTGGTCTCATTCATCTGGAATACTGACCCAGGCTATGGATAATCCAGTGGCCTCAAAGAGGGCTGTCACTGCCAGAGTGTCCAGTGACTCCTGAGACTCAGGCCAGCTCATTGTCCCCTCATCATCCCTCACCCCCTCAGTATACCCTTTCTCTGTCCATGACCACTCAGGAAGCTGAGTAGTCCAGGGCTCTGCTGTAGCTGCTGCTCAGCCTTTCCTACTTGTTCAGAAAGCTCCAGGTTAAGTTTGGCCACATGAAGACCACAGTCTGACCCTCTTCAGTGTATGATGATAATCTGCAATTGGTTCGGTTCAGTGGCCCTAAAAACAACTCTCTGAGTCCCCACTCCAGTGCATAGTAACTGGTGCTGCTGGGGAAGAAGAGCTATGCTGTTTTAAATGGCAACTGTCAGAGGAGTTTGTGAAGCAACCTTGTGCTAAATAAAGGCTGTTGGTGTTTATGATGCTGTTATCTTAAGGTCAAAGTCAAACCAGAAAGCAGAAAGCCTTGGACCTACACATCTGAGTGCACGCATGTGTGTGTGTGTGTGTTTTTTGGGGGGGGGAATGGATAACTGTACAAGTTCCTTATAGAAATGGCAAAGGAAATGGCTAGGAAGATGGCTCCATGGGTTAAAGTGATTGCAGTTTCTGCATCAGTGGACCATGTCCTCACCAAAGATGTTCATTCCTGAATGCCCCTGCTTTAGCCTCCTGAGCACTGAGATTACAGGTATGAGGCACTACACCAGGCACATTTTTTGTTTGCTCAAGGTTTCCCTGTGAAGCCTTGGCTATTCTGGAACTCACTCTGTAGACCAGGCTGGACTTGGAACTCAGAGATCCACTTGCCTCTGCCTCTGAGTGCTGGATTAAAAGCATGTGCCACCACTGACCAACCCAGGCAAAATTTTTAAAAGATTTGTGTGCATGTGTTTATGAGCATGAGCACATACGTACAAGTTGGCCAGGGCTTTTCCAGAGTAGTTCTCTCCTTCCACCCTAGTTTTTGAGGCAGTCTCATTATTTCTGCCACTGTGCTATGCATAGGAGCTTCCCTCTGATTCTCCCATCTCCCTCGAGGGATGCTGGGACTGAAATTGGACTCTAACCACCTCATTTAGCTTTTTAAGTGTATTCTGGGAATCAAACTGCAGTCAGGACCACTTGGCAAATGTTTCTATCTGTGAGTAATCTCTCCAGCGCTCTCTCTCTCTCTCTCTCTCTCACACACACACACACACACACACACGCATGAAAACACAAAAACGGGTGCCCATGACCTGTTCCCAAACTCCTTGAGTGGGGAAGTCTTGATTCACCAAGCTGGTGATGGGAGGCCCTTCCAATGATGTCAGACCCACCACAAACTTACTAGCCATCTTATCCCATCAGGATGGCTGTGATGGTCCAGGAACTGCATTGCCTGGGTTCAAAGCCAACCTCCCCATTCTTACTAATGCTTGCATAACTTTGTGCCTCAGACACCTGTCTGCTTCTTACTCCATTCACTTCTAGAACCATTGCAAGGTGTAGACTTTTCCTTTATAATTTGTTAGGTGTAAAGTCTGTAGAAGGGTATCTGGAAGCTAGTGAGGGGCAGACTTGGTCACCACCATCCTACCTGTCCTGATTAGCCTTAATTGTCAACTTGACACTATCTGAAAGGGTTAGGAATTGCCTGGCTCAGATTGGCCTGTGGGCACAGCTGTAGGAGATTGTTTTGATTATAATTCATGAAGGAGGGTTCAACCCACTGCAGTAGAGCCATCCCTAGGTAATCCTTGGCTGCACAAGAAACCCAGCTAAGCATGCCTGTAATAAGACATAAATCAAGCCAGCAATTCTTCCATGGTTCCTGCCTCCGGGATCTTGCCCTAGCTTTTTTTGGTGACTGTGGCCTGGAAGTGTGTAAGCCAAATAACTTTTCCTCAGATTGCTCTGGGGCAGACTATTTTGTGTTGGCATCAGGGCATCTCCTTTGCCTGCTCCTTATGCTCTTTCTTGAGTTCATCTCCATACCTCTTTAGCTGGCTCTACCCCAATCCTTCTGACCTACTGACAGCTGCAGCCTGTTCATAGTCCTCTTGCCCATCCCTACTCCCAGCCCTACACACCACACAGTAAGTGGGCTTATTCATGTGTTTTATTGTAAAAAAAAAAAAAAAGTTAAAATAAGTTACATCTGCCTTCACCACCGGTACATGCATACAGTGTGGCTCCAGGACATTCAACTTAGGACACTTTTCACAGGAGCTAAGGTGTTTCTCCCATCTTGAGGCCTACATGGCCTCTACAACTGCTTAGACAATGGTGGAGCTATGGACACACACCTCTCATTATCATAATGTGTATGTGTGGTGGTGGTGGTGGTGGGGTTCTGGCCCTATATGCACCTTGGCAGAATGTAAATGGCAAGGGAAGGATCTGAGGAAGGTTATCATGTCTCCTGCTCAGCACCCAGTGATCTGCAGCAGTGTCCCCCACCCCCAGCTCTGCATGAGCCCTCATTAGCACAAAACAAAATGAATTGGGAGCATAACAGAGTGCTCTGCAGACAGCCATTCCATTTGTAGGGACCCTGTTCTTTATTGGCTCTGAAGCAAAGACAGATTCTGGGTATAAAAAGGAACAATTCATTACAAAATATTAATAATAAAAACCATTTAGGCCAGAGTGGGCCGATTGGAGGTGGAGCATCAGGGACTTATACAGCAGCTCGTTCCCAGACCTCACCAGGAACATCTGGTCCAGTAAAATTCACATTTTCTTTTCTCCCCAGCCCAAATGCACACACACCCCTGCCCACTGGCACCTACACACACTAACACCAGTGTGTAACAGTGGCTGGAGAGGGAAGCTCAATTCACAGTTCTATAAGCCAAGAACAATTTGGCCTCACCCCATAGGCCTCGCTAAGAGAGGAGTGATGGGGAGGGGCTTTGAGGGAATCCCCAGGGAATGAGATGGTGGGTTGGGAGTGGGTATCCAGGTTGGAGCTGGTACTCCATCAGGCAGGGAATAAGGGGCCTATACCTCATGCTGAATGCCCTGTCCTAGTTTCCATCTTTCTCTTGCATTCCCAGGGAACAGAAAGTCTTGGGCCTGCTGTTGCTGTACAGAGGGAGAGGGAATCTGAGATGAGACATGGCTCTGGGACACATAAAGGACACACACTCACACACTTCCCCCCCCCCCCCAACTTCTCCCACAGCTCCTGCCCTGAGGTTTGCAGTAAAGGGCTTTCTGGGCCGATGAGTCCTGAGGTGCCCCAAATTCCATCATACCTGTGCCTTCCCAGAACACTTGAGAACTCCTACATGACAACCCTGGGTCTTACAAGCTCCTTTTCCAAATGCCTAGCTCAATCCCAGGCACACAGGAGTTGCCCATTAATACTGGTGAACTCATCTGAAGCACTTGGCCTCAGAAAACCATGTGACAGTCAACCGAACAATGGGGGAAGACTTAAGCAGCAGACAAAGGCCCTCCAGGGTGAGTGCTGCTGCCAACATGCCTTGAGCCAGCAGATATACCTGCTGGGCAGGCCCAGGACAGCAGCCTCCCCATGGGGGGGCCACAGAATGGAGGCCTGTTCTGGGCCAACTTCACATCCCATGGAAGCAATCAGATGGAGAGGACAGAAGGAAAAGTGGACCCTGGCTCCCCATCTCATTTCCAGGGCCCTCCCCTCAGGGGTCTGGCCATCACAAGATAACCCCAGTGAGGGGAAGAAGCCACTGGAGAGCAGGCGGGGAGCCAGGCCCTCCTCACGTGCCTCTGGGGCTGTCCACCTTGTTGTATTCATTCATCAGTTGCTCATAAGGCACAGAGAGCTCTGACTCGGTGCTGGTGAAGGTAGACTCATCTGATGAAGGGAATTCACCTGTGCTCAAGGGCACCTCAGCTGCAGCCCCCTGTTGAGGCTGCTCCTTGGAGGTCAAGTTGTCCTCCACGGAAGACTTGGAGGTCTCCTCATCTGAGAGGCCAGTTTCCTCATTTTCAAAGGTAATGTTGGCATTTTGAAAGATGAGAGGATGGTAGTCTAGGGCTTCCCATGGCTCACCCTCCTCACTGATACGGTCTAGCTGGTTAACAAACACTTCAGAGGTTGGGTAGCCATCTTTGGGAGCCTGTGCCTCAGCCTCAGGACCAACTGGCCTAGACACATGTCCTTTGCTCCTTAGAGTCTGAGATACCTCTTCCAAGCTGGGCACTCGAGTCTTGGAATAGACCACCAAAGGTACCAGAGATGCAGGGATGTTAGACAGTCCATCCCCTTGAGCTCCCAGCCCATGCCCAGGTCCTGGCAACCTCTCCCCACCCCCACTTGTTTTCATTGCCTTTTTCCCAATTTGTTTGATGAGATCATTGTAGGTCTCCTCCTTTTTGGATAAAAAGCTAAAGATGTTGACATCTTTGGAGGCTGTACTGCCACCCATCTGCAGAACCTTCCGGGAGTGTGGGGAGCTCTCAAAGGATTCCTTTCGCCGCCGTCGCCTCTTCTTAATGGCTTTGTGCACTTCCACAAACATGCTCACCTTCCAATTGACAAAGAGGGACAGCCAGGCCAGCCCCAGGTAGATCCAAAGCTCCACGAAGTAGCGGTACAGGGCATGGTAGTTGGCACTGGGGTTCACACCTGTGAAGACAGGAAGCTCAGAGGGTCAGCAGAGGCCTGCCAAAAGTATTGGCCAATACTGTGCTGTCTGGGTAAACTATGCAGAGCACAGTGTCAAAGAAGGGACATGGGGAGACCCCAGGAGGAGGTTCTTCTAAAACAGGAACCTGAGCTCCAGCATCAGAATCCACATAAGGGCTACAGGGTTGGTTCAACAGTTGAGGGCTGGTTGTTCTCTTAGGACTCACATGTTTGCTTCCCAGCAACAACATGGCTGCTTACAACCATTTGTAACTAGTTTCAGGGACTCTGTCACCCTCTTCTGGCCTCTGAAGGCATCAAGACATACAGGCATACATGCAGACAAAATACCCCTATACATTTAAAAAAAAAATTGTTTATTTTTTAGAAAACCCATATAAAAGGCCAGGTATATGGAACACAGCTATAATCTCAGAACTGAAGATAGTTGGAACCCTGAGGCTTACTGGCCAATCAACTAGTCTAATAGATGGGTTCTAGGCTAATGAGATTCTGTCTTAAAAACCCAAGGATGGCTGAGGTTGACTCTACACACCTGTGCACACAAACAAACGAAGCCTAGACTACCTTACCTATCTTCTTTCTGAAGGACTGTGGCTCCAGCCTACCCCATCTCTAAGCCTCAGTTTCTCCAACTGCAAAAAAGTCAGACCTGAGGCTACTTCCGGATTGAGGGGCACTAGTAAAAAGGGGCTCTTGGGGTTAAATAACCAGCTCATGAGTATGCAACTTCCCGTTCATTTCTCTGCTCCTCCCAGCCAGTGAGAGTATCACAGCTCAGTTAAAAACAGAATGGAAACTCGACATTGGGGATGATAGCAGCCTCAGCACTGGGGAGGGACTAACAGATTTACTATGAATGATGCTAGTGGTTGGGTCAAGATGACCCAGGAAGCACTGACCTGGCAAGAACCACTCTACACTGTCTTTACCCTCCTCCAAGGCGGAGTCTGCCTCCTTGTCTCTGCCCTCTTCAGGGTAGCTCTTTGATTGATTGGCCTAGATGGCTCCCCACTGTGCATGCTCCTCTGACAATAGGCTTCAGAAAGTCTTTCCCACCTTCACTCCACAACTTCAGAGGTTCTTCTTCCTTCTAGAAGATTTCTAGTTAAGATTTCCTTCATGGTCAGGTGACATGGCTCAGTGGGTAGCCATGCTTGCCTGAGGACCTGAGTTTGGTCCCCAGGACACACATGTAGAAGGAGAGAAACAACCCGTGGAAACTGTTCCCTGACCCCCACATGTACCATCTCCCTACATACAAATAAATAAATGTAATTTTAAAAGATAGCCTTTGCAACTTTATATTTGCAGCTACCTTGAACTTCATCCTGCCTTCCAAGATGAGGAATGACTTAAGTGAAGAGCCTAGAAGAGGCAACCTCCAGCCATGATGAGGGCCTGCCTTCCTTGGAGCAGAAGCTAGAGCCCTGACTGGGGTGGTACCCTGCTCTGCAGGCAATCTTGCACAGAGTTCCTGATCACAAGCTGAGTTCAATAATGGCAGTCAAAGGTGATATCTGCCCTCGGCACCCAGGAACTGAAGCAGATTCAACTGTGCAGCTAGTGTTACGGGCACTAAAGATGGGAGGATGGGTCTGGTGTCTCATTAGAGCTCAGAAGTATGGCTAAAGGTAGTAGGCTTCCCCTCAGCAGGCTCTGGGGCCCTGGAACAAAACAATGGTAGGGTTATGTCCAGACAGCAGGCAGGCCCCAGGAAGCCAGGGTCAGGAGTGTTCACTGTAGCAAGCGTCCTGTTCCCTCCACCCACTTAGCTGCCCCCTCATAGCATTCCACACAAAAAGGGGCAAAGGCATGACCTCCACCTGCCCTCTGAGCAGAGCAGCTGGTGCAGTGACCTCTGAGAGAGAGGTGGAGGTCAATAGGGAGGGCAGGAGCTGACATTGGTTCAAAGGGGGTTTCAAGAAAATTAGGAACCAGGAGACTGTGCAGGCCATAAGGCACAAGGCACTAAGCATTGGTGTCTGGGACAGGCGCAGGGCCTCACACAAAGGGAACAAAGAACCTCTTCATTGCCTGTGGGGATTAAGCAGAGGAGGAGGAGAGTAGGGCTGAGCTGGGAGAGCAGTGGGGAGAAGGCCTCCCTTGTCTGAGAGCCACCCTGGCTCAGCTTGTGTGTGTGTGTGTGTGTGTGTTGGATCTATAGCTATGGAAAAAAAAAAAACTCAAATTCTGCAGGTAGGAGGGTGAATACAAGTAAATTTGGGGTGTGTGTGTGGGGAGTGGGGCAGGAGAGAGACAAAAACTAACAAGAGGAAAGGACACATTAGGTTTAGGTGCCCCAAAGGTCAGTCCAGACTGTAACTGGAGATGGTGACAGAGCAGAGGTCAGAGGAAGGAGGCAGGGACTCACCGGCCACAAAGTCCCCAAAGCCAATGGTGGAAATGGTGATGAAGGAGTAGTAGAGGCCCTCGATGTAGTTCCATTTTTCTGTCACCATGAACACAAAGGGTGGGATCACCAGGTGGACCAGGACACCCCACACGATGAAGATGGCCGTGCATGTGATCTGAGCCTTCCGCTGGCAGGGTGGTGGGAAAGCAAGTCAGCTGTGGGAGGGACTCCAAGACCCCAGCTGGGACAGAGCCCAAGTTGCTCCAGCAGGACAGGCATCATCTCTCCTCCCCTGTCATGGTCCCTCCCACCCTTTAACTGTAGGATTTGGGACATACCAGACTAACTCCTCTCCTGGTAAGAAACTGGCCCAGCCTCTTGGCACGTCCCCCAAAGAACTTGCCCAGGGCGCTGATCCATGTCAAGCACAGTGGCACCCCAAACAGACCATAGAAGACACAAAAGAGACGCCCAGCTGGGGTCTTGGGAGCCACATTGCCATAACCTGGGGGAAGATAAAGAGTGAAGCAAAGGACACATTACAGCCAAGATTATAGAACCACAACTGGGTTCTTGCCTCCTGAGTGGTATATACGTGCACATGTGTACACACGTATGTACACACACACACACACACACACACACACACTTCAGAGGGACACGTTCTTTCAAATAAACTGATCCTATTCTAGTAAATGCATGTATGTATGTATGTATGTATGTATATGCAATAATTCCCTTGATCATGCTCTGATCCTATTCTATTTCTACAACAACTATTTCTACAATAAGGACTGACCTCTCCATAATATCAGAAGGTCCCTGTGGGCAGGCACTAGGTCTGCCATCATTAGGTGCTCCACTGGTTCATTAGGTACTGTTATGCAAATGAGACACAGATGCCCTGTCCCCACTGAATAGACACCAGAAGTAGTATGGAGCTAATTCCTCTGCCCTTATGCAAATGCTCATGTCAGGGCAGAGTCTCTGAATTTTGAGTATCAGTGACCTGGTTGGCCAGAGGTGCAGAAGTGATACAGGCAGGTGAGTTGGAAAAGTCCACAGCTACAGAGCTCATCCATGCAGAGGCCCTGTGCATTCAGCTTCAGCCAACTGTAAGCATTAATGGTCAAGCAGTAAGTAGGAAAAGCCAGCCTGGACTCAAGGCCGGTGGGGCAGCCACGACTTGGTTACCATGTGTTGGAGAGCCCACACAAGAACTGTCAGTTGAACCTAGCCAAGCCCCAAAAGGTAGAAGATAGTAACTGCTTTAAGGCACTGACTTCTTAAGTGGTCAGACACGTAGCCACAGAATATTGGAATTTTGGGCAATGAGCTATCTATCTAACCTGTGTGGCACTAGCCATCAGGCCATGTCAATATTTCTGAGTCCAGTTGGAATTCAGAATTTTGGAATCCATGTAAAGGCTGGGTGAGTATGGTGCCTGCTTCTAGCATCCCAGCACACAGGTGGCAAAGACATGGGATCCCTGGAGCAAATTTCCTAGCTGGACTAGCCAAAAACAATGAACTTCTGGTTTGGTAGAGACCAGGCCTCAATATATAAAGTAGAGAGCAATAAAGGAAGACACTGATTCAACTTTGGACACCCCCCTCCATGCATCCACTCATATGTGTGCCCACACAGATAACAAAAACATGCATGCATATACCACACATACATACATATGGAGAAATAATAAAAATACAGAGTCCAAATCAGGACCAAACTGTGTGTGTGACTTGGTGGCCAACATGGCTTCAATCACCAAAGCTCGATTCCTACAAAGTTTTGAGACATGAGAATGTGGATGTGGGTGTACTAGAGGAGACTCACCAATGGTAGTAATGACCGTGGCTGCAAAAATCATGGCATTAGGCCAGTTCCAATTGTTGAAAGTCTGGTTCCCTGTAATGGCCACACCCTGATCTGCAGCAACAGACACCACCTAAAAAAAAGAACCAGAGGGAAGGTCATGGCTGAGACAATTTCTGGATGACAGAGATGTAGCTCAGTGGTAATGTCCCCCTTGCCTAGCATGTATATATAGCCTGAGCTCTGTTCCCAGCAAGGCACACACCTGGCATTGGTGGTACATGCCTTTAATCCCTGCACTCAGGAGGCAGAGGCAGGCAGATCTCTGACTTTGAGGTCAGCCTGGTCTACAGAGTGAGTTCTAGAACAACCAGGGCTACACAGAGACCCTATCTTGAAAAAACCAAAAAGGAGTATCAGGGTAAAGATCATCCTTTGAAGCCAGCCTGGGCTACCTGAGACCCTACACCCAACCAACACCAACAACATATCTCAGAGTATCTTCATTTAACCGTTACAATATCAAGGTGACTAGCAGTGTCTTTATTATATAGCTGAAACATTTTAAAGCGAGAGCCAGGAAAGTTGAGGTCCACATAGCTAGGGATGGATAGGAACCAGGCACCTGGTTCCAAATTTTAACAGAAACATGTTCCCAAATCACCCACAGAACTGAGAAAGCTTGTACCAAAGTCTGATGGGAAGAGGGCTTTTCTAAAGGGGTCCCAGGTGGTTCTGGTCCAGGGACTGAACTCCAAGAGCTATGTGATGGCTCCACCTCTCTAAGACATAGACTCAATGCAATTACCTCAGAAGTCCCCTCAGTCCTCTATGGCCTGGGAAGGAACCTCCAACCATTTTCCCTGTGGGATGGCCACCAAGATAAGTCTCCTTGTCCTTGAGGGTAGGCAAACCAGCTAAGCATAATTTCCCCACCTTGAGGATGCTCAGGTGCCCTCCTCCTGACAAGACCCCCTCTCTGAACCCTTTCTTTTTCCTGTCCTGGGCTAAGCAGCTGTTGGGGCAGGGACAGATAAACAGGTGGTGAGTACACTTCAAGGTGATCAAAATTGTATTACCATTATCCACACTTTCCAACAGGTAGGAGGCTCCAGGGCAGGTATCATCTACTCCAGGAATTCCCGAGGAGTGACAAACCTGGTTCCACATACTTCTACCACTCAACTCAGCTATCAATAGAGCTGTATCAGCTCCCACATACCGTGCCAAAGAGCCCATAAGGGACTCTAAGTCTGGGGGGGGGGAGGTGTTCAAGTTCTGTCATTCAAAGTCAGCCTCAGACTAGAGACCAGAAGCTCAGCCAAATTTCCTATAAAATCCAAGCCAAGGGCAGCAGAAAACAGAGTGAGGGATGGAAACAAAGCAGAGGTGGAGAAGCCATCATTTCTAAGCCACCCAAAGCATGACTGAGGTTTGGAGGGAATGAGGGAACGCATGGATGGTTCTGAAGGAATGCACAGTTTGCAGAAGCAGCAGAGACTGTGTAAATGGATCTGCGTACTTGGGGAAGAATTTTCCATGATGACATGCCTGCCCGACACCCCATCAGACCACAGGCCGCTTGCTGCTCTGCCTCCCACTGTCATTCCCAAGCCCAGGAGACATGGAAAACAGGGGAATCTCACACTGACATTCTCCAGAGCATTCAGAGGTCTATGCAATCTATGCAGAAGAGCATCTTAGATGCTAAAAGACCTGTAGGACCATCCAACATGTTTGTTCTTCAATTCTGGGGAACTGAACCCAGGTCTCACACTTGCTAGGATAGCTCTGGTACCAAAACACACTTCAGCACCCACCCAATTTAGCCTTTAAAAAAAAATCTGTCTGGAGCAAGAGAATGAATGAGGAAATTCTAGAGCCCCATGTTGACATTAAACAGATGGGAGAAAAGGCAGAACCATTTCAGCCCCCACCTTTTATCTTAGATAGAAATCTTAAACCAGACAGCTTGAAATGAAGCAATGAGGATGTGGCTTGATTACAGAGTGCTCCCCTAGCAAGTGTGAGACCCCAGGTGGCTTGTAACCCCAGCACTTGGAAGCAGGGTTAGGAGTTTAAAGCTAGTCAAGGCTCTATCTCAAAAATAAATAAGCAAGGAGCTGGAGGGATGGCTCAGAGGTTTGACTCCCAGCCCCCACACTGGGCTGCTCATAATTGCCTATCATATCAGATTCAGGGAGATCCAGTGTTTTTGGCTTCCAGAGGTACCTTTATGCATTTGCACATACCCAAATGCACACACATATATGTAATTAAAACTCATAAAAAATAAATTTAAATAAATAAATACTAAGCAGGGTGTGGTGATCACTATGGTTTTAATCCCAGCACTCAGGAGACAGAGATAGAGGGAGATGGATCTCCGAGTTTGAGACAAGCCTGGTCTATATAGCAAGTTCCAGGCCAGTTAGAGTTATACAATGAGACCTTGTCTCAAACAAACAGAAAACCAAAACAAACAAATGAATAACTAGAATGACAATGAGTTACCACCTCTGATCATTCCCACTGAAATCCTGGGGAACAGGAAAGATGTCAGAGCCAAGCTGCCTGTGTGCTTACAAAAAGTAAAAGAATAAACTCTAGATATTCTGTTTGGAAATATGTCTCTCTATGAAGCCCTGCTTCAGTCTCCTGAGTGTTGGGCTTACAGGTGTGCACTCCCAGCTCTTGACTCCTGAAACCTTCCAGGAGACCCAAACATTTGGAATGAGTACATGTCCTTCACTGAAGGGCTGCAGAGCCTCAATGTCATGTGGAAAACACTGAACCCCAGAGTCAGCAAAGGGGGCCTGCAGCCACCTTCAATAATGCAAACTGGAGATTGGCACAGTATCCGGGTCCATTCAAAGGCAGCTAACATCCCTAAACAGTGCTCTCATTGCCAATCAGACAGAGGTCTCCGTGGTCATGCCTAAGGCCTGGCCTCTACAATGGCTTCTTTCATTTACTCAATGGCACAGTCAGGTCATCAATAGCTTACCACTCCCTTGGGCAGAAGATGCAAAAATAATAACTGGTGCAGAAAGAGAAGATGACCACAATAAACGCAACAAGGAAACATGGTGAGAAATGAGTATTTTTAAGTCTTTTCACTTTGAATCAGAAAAGGCCAGTGGAGGGGACAGGAGAGATGGCTCAGTGAGCACAGTGTTTGCCAAGATCTGAGTTCAGATTTCCAGCACCCACATAAAAAACACAGTGCTGGAAGCAGGACAAGGAGTCAGTTATATCCATGGTGGGTGGGTAGATGGGGGCTTGTTCCAATCTAGCTGAAATAGTACACTCCATGAAGACACTCAATTCAGGCCTCTGGCCTCTACATGTACATTACTATACCACTAAACACACACACACACACTTCAAAAAGGAGAAAATGAAAAAGCTAGTTTAGGACAAAGGGGAGAGTCCTTGGTCTCAGCTGACCATAGATAACAAACACAAGGATGAAAAGCAAACCCTGGGTTTGAGATACCAAGTCCATTGTGCTTCAGGGTCAGGTCACACACAGTTTCACTCTATGTCAGACTATACACGACATGTTAACCAATGAGCTGAGAAGCCACCAGGGAAGCTTTTGGAATAATAACCTGCCTCTACAGTCATCAGCTCCTGGTACTGAGAAGTGGTTAGGTCAGGGCTAAGCATCATCCATCAGGAGGCTGTATGGTACAAGTATGTATGTGCCATATGGAGTCAGTTCTAGTTGCTGGAAGGTTGGGAGATGGTGTTCACAGGGAGCACTGTATGTCAAGCAGGGAATACAGTTGTCAACAGACAGAATTTGTCTTCCCACAGTAGATGATACTGGCATGAACTGGATAGTGGGCCAAAGGTGCTATATGCTATATAATTCACAGGACATGCCTCACTGCTTACTAAAGGCCATCTGTGATTTGAGAATCACTGAGAAAGGACTAAACAGCCATGTACCACAAGAGCTGAAGAATACAGGATGGCATGGAGAAAGAAATGCTGACTGGCCTTGCTGCCCTCTCCCCGCTGGTGATGTGTCCTCTGAGTAACAGCTCACAGCCTCAGCCTCTCCCTGGGTTAACAGGAGCCATGGCTCACCTGCTTTCCCTGTGATTTGTGTGAGTTCTCCTGAGTCATCCACCAAGGACAGATATAGAAGATAGGCCTTTTCTGATTCAAAGAGTCCCTGACCCCATTAAACACCATGAAGCTCGGCAATGGTGGGAAGGCACAGAGGTAGTAAATGGGTACATGGGGTAAAGCCTTGGCACATTTGTGCTTGAAGTCTGTAGCAACTCTAAGCTTCCCTTGCTCCACTGCTTTAACAGCCCTGAGGCTCCCCAGTGCCCCTCACTATTGCTTCCACCATTCCCAAATGTGGCTGGCTTTGGAATCTGCACGGCTCCAAGTCAAAGCTGAACAAGAATGGGGTTGTGGAGGGGATGGCCACAGGATGAGACAGAGTGTTGATGTGGTCAGACACCTCCTTGCTTGGACTCTAACACATCCAGCACCTGTCTGGCTTTTTCCGATTCTGCCAGACATCACTTAACACAGAGCTGTGTCTAGATGTGAACTTGGGGAGGGCCACCTACCCATTTTCCCACTGTGTAGAGTCAGGGTTCTGGTGGAGATTCATGGCTGGCCATGGTTGGGATCCCACAGGGTGAGGAGGAGGCCTGAACCAGTCTCCCAGAACAAAAGGGCTGACCCAAGATGGAGGTCATCCCTGGGTCAGAGGAGGGCTGTTGGGGAGTCAGGCAAACCCTGTTAGACAAGGTGTCCTGTTCTCAGGGTTAGGGAAACAACTTTCGCGGGAGGGGGTGGCCCCTGTTCTTGTGCAGTATTCTTTAACTTGGCTCCTAAATTCACAAGAGACAATATTTTCATTTTCCTTCTAAGCCTGGAGGGCAATGGAGAGTGGGAGCAGAGCCTGCACAATCCAGGCCAGGCTCCTATTTGGGGACGGAATTGAGTTCCCCACTTGTCACCTTCATCATAAAGCCAGTGTGATTTATTGAGGTCTTACTAAGTGCCAAGCGTTGTGCTCAGCATTTTATGTGCCTTTTAGCCCATTTAATGAGAACAGAATTCTGCTGGGAAAGACACTATCATTTTTTCCACATTGCAAAT